CTTCTTTTGTTAGGTGTTTCTTTCTTTTCTTAGATGTGTTTTTTCTCTCATAAAGCCAAGATTTTAATGAAATTAGAGTCATGAATTAATGAAAATGAATGACGTTGAAAGTGTCCTATAACTACATGTTTATAATTTGCAAAATGTAAGGCATTAAAGCTTTAAATTCCTTTTCTTTTCAATTTATGTCTACACCATATCATGTTTAATTCTACTTATGGTCTTTGATACTCTGGTATATAAGAACATTTTTAATAATTGTTTATGGAACGTTGATAACAATGCGACTTTAAGAATTTGTTTGAAATTCTAGCATGAATATCTCCCGAATTTCATAATTAAATGGCAATTTTGAAAATGATATGTGAATATACAATTTTTAATTCCATTTAATATCAAAAATATTACGTGGGACTGGAGATAATGGAAATATTCTGACTTTCATAGTGAAAATATCTCATTATTTCTTAAATAAAATTCATTCTTATATTAGACTTTTGATTTTTTGGGGACTGCAATTCAATTTTTTGTGAATGGGGTCTACATTTTTTTTTACATACCCGGCACACACTAGATTTTTTTTTTGCATTTAAATACTATTGATTTGTCCTTTTGTTTCGCAAATCACTCATGTATCAAGATTTTGTTTATACATTTTACATACGCTTCCCATATATTGAGATTTTGCGATTGTATTTAACATTTGTTTTAACTACATCGGAGTTTTGTTTTATATAGAGAGGTTAGTCATCTCGTAATAACGAGACAATTTTACTGTGACTTATATTTTACCCCATATACTTAATCTGCTTGTTTTTCGCTATTATACTACACATCATCAATTAGAGAATGGCCAAAATCACAATAAATCTTTTTATTGAGCTTATAGGTGAAGAGAAGGAAACACTTGCTGTGGCCTTCAACTCGACATTTAGATATATCGACGACGTATTGTCAATTAACAATGGTCAGTTCCATTCTTATGTCGATACGATATATCCCGGTGAGCTTGGAATATACGATACCACAGAGTCTGATACATCTGTTTCATATTTGGATATTTTACTTGAAAAAGACGTTAATGGTAATCTAGCAACCAAGCTTTATGATAAATGTGATGGCTTTAACTTTTCAATCGTCAACTTCCCTTATTTATGCAGCAATATACCTTCATCACCTGCATACGGAGTGTATATATCTCAGTTGATTCGATACGCAAGAGCATGCTCTACGTATGTACAATTTCTAAAACGAGGTAAATTATTGACAAACGAGTTGATAAAACATGAATATCAGCTGTCTCGTTTAAAGTCATCATTTCGTAAGTTCTATGATCGATACAATGACCTTGTCAGCAAATACAATTTATCATTGAGTCAAATGCTGACTGATGATTTTCATACTAATTTTTAGGCCATTATTTACACACTGAATTGTCGACGGATTTTTCCGTTACTTTCCGATAATGACAAGGAGCACACGGCGGGTGTGACCGGTCGGCAGGGGATGATCACTCCTCCATGGCACCTGATCCCACCTCTGATGTTTGGTGGCCCGTGTTTGCTCTGCTCCTATTTTGTATTGTTTAATGGACTTTTGAGCTTGAATACTGTTCGTTATTTCAATATATTTCATTTATTGAGCAGAGGTACATGTAAATAGCTTGTTCAATATTCAGATGAGTTTCCCATGAATATCGAGTTAATATGTTGTCTATGGACAAGCACACGGGAGCGAAGCGGGTTGCTTGTTTCCCCCATATAATACTAGAGGCATTCAATTCATTTTTTGTCCTTAGCTGTAATACAAAGATACAGTGATAATTTAAAGATTTTTTTATTCCTTCAAATTAACCCCCATTACTTCAATGCACTTCTTAAGTCTCTTAATCCAATCATGAAATGCCTGTTTGTATTCACTTTTCAGAATAGCCCTGAGACACTAAAAACGGCTGAACAAAGTGCTAAGCTTACATTATTTTTGTTGCTCATATTTGAAACAGCAGTTTGGCAGTGTTTTAGAGTGGCTCTCGTTCTTTTTCAATTCTGAATAAACTACCCAGTGTACGTCCTTGACTCATGGAGACCAAATAAAATAAATGTTCATTTAACCATAACAAAGCGATCTGAGTTACAATGTAAGGAGACTGAAAATTATTGAACGACCTTAATTGTGTATTTAATTTTCTTTCTACAGTTTTCCCGCATTGTAATTATGGCGTCACTTTAGAGGCTAGAAGTTATGTTCCGCTTATTGTGACGTTATATTGCTTTTTTACTTATTGTGAAATTTCTAAAGATTTGAAATGAAAGCGCTATTTTGCCAACAAAAAATATTCAAAATCATAATTTATTTTGTAAAACGGGAATCAGATAATTTATTTCCATATTATCTTCATGGTCATTGTTTAGATTTCATATTTATTTACATTGATAAATAACATTTAAGCTTGTACAAATTACTGATTTAATGTTAATTCCTCAAAGCATTGAAAATTATATCAATATATGATGTTGTTTTTGTGCGTATACACTTTGTTGTCTAGTGCAATGCTCTACGTATCAAATGCAGAACTAATCATAATGAGGAGATGAAATACAAAACTACGGCTCATTTGGAAGGGAAGGACAGAAAAAAAATATTCGTTCGGATAATAAGTTCTTGTTCGAAAGAATTAAATATTTGATACAAATTACATATGTGTCAGGACGAATTAGATATTCGTTTGCTCGAAAATTACAGTTGTTCTGAAAACAAGATACAGGGTGTTTCACAATATATGTCACACATCTGAAGGCAGAAAGAAAAATTACAACAAAAGTTACATATACATTTTATATATCATTTTAATCAGCAGATATTCAAAATTATTACTTTAAGTCAGAAGTATCCAACATTCTCCATTTCAGTTTCTATGGCAACGATTTCCTAAAATGTTGTACTCTAAGTGTTTTCCTTACCATTGTCCTAAATAACTTAAGAATCTCGTGTTCAGAAATTTCTGACCACTGTTTCTTACTTTTCACGGGATACTTGACAAATTTCTTGTTTTATATCGAGCTTGTTAGAACCCCCAAAGTGCATATTTATTTGTTTTATTCAAAGATGCATTTAAATAAATGTGTCATTTCAGAACTACGGGTATGTGCTGACGTCCACTTCTTTCGCTCTTTCAATCAATTTAGCAAACTTAACCGACTCTGAATGTCAGTTGGCTTTAAATGCTGCAATGTTGAAATCTTATATGCAGACACACATTCAATTCAATTCGAAGATTTCTAAATACACTTGATACACTTACATTGTTACAACCCATTTCCTTAAACTCAGATCTAACTGACTTTCTTAAGGTTTTCGCAATGATTGCCTTCAATTTGACAATGTTCTCATTTTTTTGTTGGGGGGGGGGGGTGAGGCCAGGATTTAATTGTCTTTCATCTTTACATAATATGTTTTGTTCAGACTTCTTAATTATCTTTTATAAATAAAAACTAGACAGGGCTTTCTAGTCTGGATATTTTTCTTCATCACATCATGTACAATAATTAGGATACCATGCTTATAATAAAAATTTACAAATTCAAATATTTCTTGCAAGCTCTACTCCATTTTGAGAACAGCTGAAATTATGACATAACTGATTACATCGTCAGTGACTTCATGGTATTATTATTTTCCCGATTTTTTTGCAATATAATAATTTTAGATTAATATGATTGTCTATGGTACTTTGGTATTTTTGGTATCATGCTTGATATTCAGATTATGCCCATTTAGATGTGTGACATATATTATGAAGCACCCTGTACAAACTATTTGTTCAGACACATTTATTTTCCTCTGAGACAAATAACTTATTAATTATGTGAGGTGAATAATTTATTTGAGGTTTTCCATTTATAAGGCAGAGAATCTAGAAAAACCTAGAATGGTTCATGATATAAGGTACATGGGTCGATTAAACGTTTGGGGAAGGGTTGAGGGGGAGGAGGAGGGTATTTGAGTTCTTTTTCCTAATGAATCCATTTCCGTACATTTGCTGTGCTGTTAAGGAACGTTAGTTCGAACTGGGTTACATCTCTTACTTACTGTAGTTTATTTGAAATAGACTTTATCTTGGCTCATGATGGGCACATACAAACTGGAATATCAATATTGTATCCTGTACAATTGAATAAAAATTTACCATGTTTTTGATATGAAGCATATTCAAAGTATATTGAGCAGTTGGTTGTGTAGATCAAATTTCATCTTCCTGCATGAAGTATTTTTAAAAGCTTTTAACTTTTTCTCCCTTTATTTTTTTTTTCACTTTAAAATACTGCAATGCGACTAAAAATGTTTCGAAAAAAAAAAAATACATCTTAAGAAGGCGAAAGTTATATATTTCATAAAGAGTTTTGGTAAATTCTCATTCAAATCCACCGATTTTAGAAGTGTAAACTATCAATTAAATATGGCCACGTAGCGTAGCGATACAGTAAATAAATAAAAATATATATCTACGGTTACTCTTACGAAAAGATGGGCACAAAGGAACGGAGTCAACTAAAAAAAAAGCTTCGATATCTTCATTCCAGTGCCATTGCTAGATTCATATAATTTATCAACAGCCATTATGCTGTCCCTAGATCTGCTCCTTTATCGAAAGAATAGCAAATTTTAATGCAATAATTTCTCTACATGAGCTTATTTTATATTAAATATGATTTGGAACATTGTGACACAATTAATAATAAGTGCTTGACAATGAAGTAAGAAGAGAAAATCATAAATTAATTGGCAACAAGCTATAGAAACAGCACTTGAATAAACAGGAATTTCATTAAACAAAAGGGATGCAATACTTATGAATAAGATTAACTACTCATTTATGAACGGCCCTTTTTTATTGCGTCCTTAACGTAGAGATGTAATATGATATTATAGAATATTTATAAATCTCTCAAACTTCATTTCTTGGTGAAACATAACTATGGTACAGATCACAGCTTTTATTTCTACATTCCAGGCGATTGTTTTCTGCTCAAGTGCATACGGTAAACAGGAAAATATGACTAACACTTTCCAATTTCATATGTTTCTTACAACAATATTTACCTCACTTATTAATTTTAAATTTTGAATTTTAGAAAACATTGCCATGAATAAACCGTCATGGCAAAGTAGCCAATTTTACCCAGGTGACCACAGAACCGATGCCAGTAATGCTGTAGACGGATTGAAGACTGACCTCTCAAGTTTTGGAGGGCAATGTGTTACATCAAACACCAAGCTTCGCACTGCCACCTGGTGGGTTAATCTGACATCTATTCTCAGTATACATCACATTACAATTTACTACAGGACGGACAATATAAAGTGGGGTATGTAAAAAAATATTATTTTCTCGATGGCTTGAACTTATATTTCTGTCGAAATTCTTGATTTCTCAAAGTCCACCTCTTTTCTCTTTTCCCCTTAATAAATCAAATAATTCCCCTTGATTTTCTACAAACACAACTCAATGTAGAAGAACTGTTAATCACAGAGAGGATGAATCGTGTTTATCACATTTTAAACCTACTATTAAAGGCTAAAGGGTAAAAAATTAAAACGCCGTTTTGTCTTTAAAAAATTCAAATGTTTTTGCTTGAATAGAGGCCCCTCTCACCAAAACAGTGATATCTATTTAGTTGAACAATTTTATGTTTGGCCAAGCAACATAATTTGATGAAAAACGGGGAAATGAATCTTTACAGTTCAAAATAATTTTTCAAAAGTTATAAAAATAAAAGAAACTTATTCTATATGGATTTTTTTAAAAACATATTCAAAAATTTATGTTTTGTATTTTATAAAATTTAAATTTTCTCACTAGATTTTCATTGGAGAAAATACTGAAAAGTAGAAATATAGCTTTTCTGTATGGGAGATGAGAAATGTTGTTTGTTGTATGTAATGTATCTTTAATCCTCGTTCATACCTGCCAACTTTTGAATATTCCCATGGGGGATTTTGCGTGTAACGACAGTTTTCAAAGCTTTAAATTTGTGATATTTTGTCGTGAAAATAAATGTTTATCCCATTTTTGTCTTCTAATTTATAATATTGATATCACTTATTAATACACTTTAAGGATAAATAATACAAACAACATTTTTCCTTCCAAAATTAAAATATCTTTGCTTGAATAGGTACCTCTCTCAATAAAGTAGTGATATTTACTTAATTAAACAACATTATTTTGACAAAGACACATAACTTGGGGCAGTGGGTGGGTGGGGAGTGAAAATATACAACTTTCAGTTAAATAATTTTTTTGCAAAGTTTTAGAAATACGAGGGTTTTCGCAAAAAGTCGTAGACAATGTTTATAACTTTGTAAACATAGTATTTCAACCAATACTAACTAAATTTTGTATAGCCATCACTTATTCAAAGTTCCTTGAAAAAGTGAATTCTGAAATATATAACTTTCATTGTAAAAATAAAATGACGATTTAAAAGAAGGCTGATAGGGTCTGTCGGCGCACGAACAAAATTCGGAATAATTTACGTATGTAATTATTCCAATTGCATTTGTTTCTCTGGTAATATGTAAAACATCAAGCTCAAATTGATATCAATGAAATCAGAAACAAAATCTTAATAACATATCAAAATTTAATAGCATCAAAGACATAGGATTGGTGTCATAATTTTTAAAGTGTTGTTGGAATTGAGTTTGCTGCAAATGATGTCGTCAAACGCACTGGCCGCGCACGGAGATAAAATAAAATTGTTTTAAATGCCGTTTGTCCACTTCAGAGACGGAAAAAAGAATACAGAAGTGATATTAAACAATAGAGAAGTTGTTTTTGAATGGTATGAAAGTCATTGATAGTTTTCACTTTCGTACCGAAAATAACGCATATAAGAAGTAGAGTACTGTTTGTTAAAATCAGACGGTGAGGAACGTTATTAGACACGATCGCCGTCAAACTTTGTGGTTCTCTGCTACCCAATATGTAGGGCGACCTTTTGACTAAATTTCGACTGAAATTTAAAAAAAAATACTATAGACAGGAGTAAATTTTAATGAGTCCGTCAGACAAGAGTGTTTTTTGTCCTTTAAAGAAAAATAATTGGATGCTTAAGAGACGCGTGTTAAGCACTCGGAACAGTACTTAAAAAAATGATCATGACGTAAGAGACGTGTAAATTATGCTTGATTTCGTGCGCCGATGTACATTACATGCTTCTTTCATTTTCACACTTTTTTCTTATTTAGTGTTATCATCATGGAACTTGAAATTCATGATCATAAAATGTTGCTTTCTACTGTGACAAGAAAAGAAATTTAATTAAGCAAAGAGAAACTAAATTATTTTCCTTGTCTACGACTTTTTGGGACAACGCTCGTATATAAGATTTTGTTACTGTTTAGTTTCTGGGAAACATTTGCAAAATTGTATATTTACATTTAACACAATTAGAATTTCCTAATTATACATTCACTAAAAAAATATTGAAGAATTGCAATGCAAGGAGTCCTTCGCTTTCCAGTCCGCTGCTATACACTTATACTGCATAAAAAGTAAACGAAAATACTCTGTTAAAGTGCATAATTTAAGAAAGGAAAATTTTCTTATTTAACAAATAATAATGATAATAAAAATTATAAAAAACAACAACAACAACAACAACAACTTTTTCTTCATTTGATTTGATAAAGCAAGCAAATATGAAAATTGGTAGAATCTGATACAAGATGTCCTCCCAATTTCTATGTTGTTTTTTTTTTTAATCTGGCTCCGGGGCCATAAAATGAGACGAGCTCACTTTTGATCTTAGTCTCACTTTTCCACTATATATTCCTTTTGTAAAAGTGAGACTAAGATCAAAAGTGAGCTCGTCTCAGTTTTATGGCCCCGGAGCCAGATCTAAGAGTTCTTATTGTTACTATTGTTTCATGTCAATCTCCGCAAAGTCATACAGATAAAAAAAACTAAATAATTAAATTTCAGGTCCCAGTCATCCATATACCAAAAGGTTTCTAGGATTTTACTTATACGTATCCAACTCAACCTATAGAAATGACGGCTATTTATGTTTTCATGACACAAACTACACCAGAGCCACCATACCACCTGTCTTAAACATAAGCTGTCCTGTACATGGACAATACGTCATCTACTACAATGAGAGACTAGATGGAGTGAAATACCCAGCTGACTACTCTCACGATGCATTTACTGAGTTGTGCGAAGTGGAGGTTTACGGTAAGTAAGAACCACATCTTACATCCTACACTGATAGCCTTATAATGTAAGTTAAAGTAGAAATTTAGGAATAGATTTAAAAAAGAGATGGAAATCTTAAAACAAATTAAATTATTATTTTAAAAAAAAGCACACAGAGAAAAAATAAGAAGATAAATTTTTGGAAAACATACGAAGTAAACAAGCAAATGAGTTCGTTACATATATCAAAAAAGAGTAGAAAAATTCTGAGAGAAAACAAGCATGACCTATTTTGTGTATGCATGGGCTATTTTTGAACATAAGTATTGAATGTAATAAACGGTATAGGAGAATACTTGAGCTCTTATACTAAATCACATAAATAAGGTGAAGGTCATTGTGATATACTGTGAGAAACATTCTGAAATTTATATACATTGACCCCCCCCCCCATAAAAAAAGAAAAAAAAAATAGAGAAATACAAAATTCATAAGCACAATTACAAACGTTAATTAAAAACTCATTTAGAATTTAAAAATATTATTGCCACAACTGCTGGAGAAAACCTTCCTAAATGTAAGTCTTTGCTTCATTTTAAGAGAGAAAACTATGTTCGAAGTGTGTGTTCTGTGGGAAAAAAAATATTTGAGCTCTCTACAATGATTCCTTTTAAAGATTTATGCTTTTTTTAGGATGTCCCACGTCGGGATTTTTTGGACCAAATTGTACTCTTAGATGTCACACAAACTGCCAGGAGTACTGTTTCATCGATACTGGTGTGTGCTTAGGATGTAAACCAGGATATGTTGGACAATATTGTGAGAAAGGTAGACGTATTACCTGAATGAAGAGTTTGTAATGTTAATTATATGTAAATAAAGTTACAAGTACATGTATACGTTTGCAGTTTTAATTAAAAAAAGAAATATGCATTTTAATAAAACGTCTTAATTACTTGGAGAAACGTATCAAAAACCTGGAAAAAAAATGAAAACTGATCAAAGATTGATTTGAGAACAGAATTAACAATAGGTCTAATTTGCATGAATGTAAGATATGCACTATTTCATAAGATATGAACATTTCTTTTCAGAATGCAGTGGAAGACGTTTTGGACAGAACTGTGGGGAGTTTTGTGGAGACTGTCTGGACTTCGAACAGTGTCATCATGTTAATGGAAAGTGTCAAAACGGATGTGAACGGGGTTTTCATGGAACCAGGTGTACTGAAAGTAAATATGATTTTATTTGCAGTATAGACTGGTACATATTTATTTTGTTAAAAACTAAGATTTTAAATAGATCATCTTTCATCTTTACTAAATAAACTGTATGCGAGATAAAACAAAATTACCAAAATAACTCATCAAATGTATATTTACTCTATCAAATCAAATTCGTGTAATATAAATAAACGGTCCACGATTTAGTTGTGTTACTTGCTTGCTGATAAATCTTTCTGCTTACGTTTCAGTGTGTCCAATTGGATTCTATGACAAAAATTGTGGGAAGAAATGTAGCCCGCATTGCTTCTACTCTAACAGGTGTGACTCAAAATCTGGTGTTTGTCAGGGGGGCTGCAAACCAGGATGGGAAGGTCTCCTGTGTGACAAAGGTAAATATATACAGCATAAGAGAAATTTTTATTCAGGAAAACATGTCTCTCTCCTTGGAAAAATAACTTAGAAATAGACGAAACATCGTTTCTTAGTTCTCAAAATTTCACATTTAACAATGATTGTATGATTGTTTTTCCCCGTCTGAAATACTTTGTTTATCTAATTTTCATTTATTTTTTTTTTGGAATAGGGATTCAATCGCTATCAAAAAAGTTCCCCTCCCCAATCCCTCAAAAATTGCTTGATTTGTATCTTACATTGTAAACTTATTCTATTATCAAAGGATAGAGGCATGTTTCGCGAATGCTTCCTTAATTAACTTGGAGTTATTGGGCATAGCCTTAATTATGCATATGACTCAATGCTGAGTCTAAAAAAGATAACTCAGAAATGTTTCATCGTAAAGAATGGCATGATTAGTTGCTCTTTAACATACTTTTAAAATCTAAATTCCTTTGTAATAGTATCCCTTTTTTAAGTACAGAACATATAAATATCCTATATTTATCTTTTCTTTAGTAACTTGAAGTATGTGTTATTATTGAACATAATCATTGATTGTATATATTAGACTGCAACGAGAAGAATGGAACGAACTGTGACATACGGTGTGGACATTGTCGAGGCGGTGTTGTGTGCAATCAGATGAATGGAGTCTGTCCCAATGGGTGTGCTGCCGGATACAAAGGAGAAATTTGTACCATAGGTAGTGATGTTATCTTATTACTGATTGTACACCATGCTAAGTACTGAAATCTGATTGGTTTATATTCATTGACTGGTAGTATACTTCCTTTTAAATACCTAAATCCTGAAACCTGATTGGTTTACATTCGTTGACTGGTAGTATACTCCATTTTCAATACTTAATCAATGAAATCTGATTGGATTATATTCACTGAGCAAATAATAGGTAACACGACAATGAAGTCACAGACCTTTTATATGTGCTTTGCATATGATTTATTAACAAGTCAGTTGAAAATAAGCGGAAATACACGACGGTCATAAAATCATGATTCCGATTAGGATTGATTGCAAAAGCAGCAACAACAACAATATTATTGAAAACTAAATCTTTCTCAATACCAAACAAAAACACTTGAGAGGTCTGTGGATCATTTTATTAGTTTTTTTTGGAAAAAAAAAATATTGGCAAAGAGTTTGATAACCTTTCAATTTTAAAACGAGAATTGATTCAGAATGACAGTATCAGACTTTTGCTTTTTTATGGGTCAGATTTCAGTGTAATAAAATAAAAGTGCATGTTTTGGAGGACAAGAGTTGACGCGTGGGTTGACGATGATTTTTTTTTTCGGGTGTCATTTTCAACAGTTACCCTCCAAAAATCCGAACATGCACTGTTTATATAATGTACAATGGGAAATAGTACAGTGGGAATTACATTGAATCCGGGCCTGCAGTAATGATAAATGCATCTATGATTGTTTGACTGTTTGTTGTTTAACGTCCATTACAAGAATTCATACTTATATGAATCTTCACCAAAGATGGTGAAGGGTCTCAAACTAAGACCCTTTAAATCAGCAGTCTTGGCCATTGAGCAGTGACAAATCCTTACGTGTAGGGAACATACTTTTTAAAGTCAAATATGGAAGTCCGGTGACTTTCACTTCTAATGGTGGACGCTGAGCGAAAAAAAAAAAAACAAAACAAAACAATTACCGCCTTTGTTATATGTCTAAGATTTGACGCGGTCCCAGATTTTTAAGCAAGCGCCCTACCACTAGGCTACGACGACCGGTCATATGTGTATGAAACCAGTTTGTTAAAGTTGTGTATAGAATATGTTGACTAAATCTAAGGAATACATTAAGGAAAAATTAATAGATGAAAAAATGGTTGATTTTTTGGCAGAATGTGACGTTGGGTGGTATGGTCTGGATTGTAGGCAGAAATGTAGTGCATATTGTAATGATTCAGGAGTTTGTGATCATGTGACTGGTTCCTGTGAAGGTGGTTGCAAAAGTGGATGGCAGGGAATGAACTGTTTGGAAGGTATGATTTCATTTCATATTTTTTGTCCCAACTTTTGTTCTGTTCTATCTACATATCACAAGATTCGTGTAACAATACACAAAGGATATTATCATTATAATGTGCGGATTGGTACAACTACATTTTATGACATTCTTCTTAAACTTGTTGATAAGACCACAGGTTGTGACTTTTTAACATTTTTAAACTCTCTTAAGTTGTTTCATTATAGTCAAACTTCAGTATCTAGAATATTACTGGATTACCAAAACCTTAGCCAAATTGAATGTTTTATATATCGGATTTCAGTTTTGAATACCTAATAATAATAAGACAAAGAGAGTCAAAATGACCTTTGACATACATAAGTTTGATATACCTTTCTGTATTTAACTAAAGGAATTCTTTTTGAAAACAATACGTAAATAATATTTGAGTCCAAATGTGTTATATATGCTTATATATTTCTTCCATTTTTTTTTTTGGTCAACTTTATATATATTTGATTTATTCATTCACATTGCATTTACAGAAGAAATAAACATTACTGGAAACATCGAATACGTGAATTCCGCCAACACCTGTGATACACCTCATGTATTTATATCTCTATTCTGTATCAGTATTGTGGGTGTCTCTCTACTGGCTGTGTATATTTTCTATTTAAGGTATGTATCTTATTTTTAAATCCTTGAAAGGAAAGTAGAATTACTTTATAATTACGTTATTTAGATGTTCTGCTGAATGAGGTTACTACTTGATAAAAAAAAAATTATTTTCAAATTCAGCCTGAAAAGAATGATAATTGATATCAGCTATCTTTCATAAAAATGTAACAGCAGGTCAAAAGTTTATACAAAATGAACAGAAATAAGTCCTTAAAAAAGTAAAAAAAGAAAAAAAAAGAAAAATAATGATACTTGGTTTGCATATTTAACAAGATGCTCTTGGAAGAATAACGTTCTATAGATACCCCTTCCTTATCTTTAGTGTACAAACTATTTGAAATATATTGCAAACTTAAGATGGAATAACACCAATCCGAAAATAAATAGAAACAATTAGTAAGTCAAGAATTTTATTGATTCTGTCTCCACTTCAAATAAAATTATTTCAAAATTTCCTATTTGCAATAATTACAGAGATAATTAAAACATACGATCATGACGTTGAGATAATATCCTTTAAGAATGAATTAAAAAGCTACCCAAGTTGTACTGTATAACCTTCGTTTGGGCAGTTATGCTGTGTTAGTTCGGTAGTTATTAAATTAGTTGCTTAAAATTAAATTTTGCTATTTTTAGTGGACAAAAATAAGACATTTTTCTCTTCAAAAATGCCTTCACACTGTGCAAATTTTAAATTTAATGTCAAACATTAATATACATGTTTGACTTAAGTGATTGTTACGTAGGCAACACAGGTTATACAATATAAACTCATTTATTACATTTTCAATAGTGAAAACGTGTAATTTATCCATTGAATAAAAGTGATATTGTGACACAGTGTGTCAAAATATGAAAGTGACATTCTGTCACAGTATGAGAGAATATCAGAAGTGGCGAAAAACTCTCGATTTTCCTTCCCAAAACGAAAAGTATTTTGAACAAAATAACTCCCTGACGTGTTATAAGCTAAAGGAAGAGTAAAGAAACCATCCTGACAGAAAAAAAGCTGTCGGAGTTTCTCCAAATATGTTTTTGAAATCTATAATCGCAACGCTATGACGTCTCAACCGCTCAACGACTAGTATGACGTCAAACCCAGGACACTGTGTTACGAAAAGACAGAGGCAAAGGGAAATCAAAGAAAATGAATCAAACAGAATAGTCAATGTTTGCAGTTGGATAAGGAATTCATTCCACTCGTGAGACAGGGTTTTTTGATATTTTCGTTCGTGCTTCGCGCTCGGAAAAATATAAAAATAACTAGAGCAATGCTCGTTGCAAGGCAACGAGTAGTTCTTCCGTCCGATTTTCAGAACTGCTTGTAAAATGGGTAAATGATAAGTATACTATTCATGAAAAAGAATGCCTCCAGATCATGTTGATCTGTATTTAGTATCTTTATCGTTGAAATCTATTCTGATTTTTTTGGTGAAGTGAAGCAAGTTAAGACTACTTCCCGTTTGACAGGAAGAGACCCCAATCGACAGAAAATTGTGTCAGAAGTCTTGGGTGAAGTATATAATTTGATTTTATGTTAATATCTGCAGAAATACGTCATTTATGGTTACTTCCGGTTTAACCAGAAGTTGACAAAAGTGACAATTCTCGACAGGAAATACGGTCGGACGTCCTCTGTGACATGTATAATTCAATTCAATGCCAATATCTGTGAAAATAGTCAATTTTTGACTACTTCCTGTTTGGCCGGAAGTGACGTCATTTGACGAATTTTGATGACCACACTAGGTGCTAGTTGTCATTATGAACAACTTTGCTTTTTTGATGTATAACAAATTCTCAATACTTTTTGAGATATCAGGAAAAACTTTCGGCTCCTCTAGATCCCATATTTTAGGAGCCAGCCCCTTTTTCATAATATCATTTGAAAGATCTTTTAATTCTGCACTACTTTTGTTCTATATGTTATAACAAAATAATTCCAACTAAAAGATATTGTAGAAAAAGTGTTAGAAATTTTGAATCTCTCGATATGCCAATTTTCGAGCCATAGCGAGAGTCGGCGATTTGTACTTCCGGTTGTCATGAGATACAAAATTCACTTCTTCATAGGTTGCTCTATCATCACTGAAAATTTCATACTTCTATGATCAGGGGCTTTTAGGAAAACGCTCAGACAAAGTGACCCTCCTAAAATCACTAAATTGCGGATATCCCCGAACCGGAAGTGACGTCATCAAAATTAAAAAAAACATTGTTCTAGATGTTTCGATGTTCTACCAGACCTGAAAGTTTCAAGAAAATCCATTGAGCCGTTTTCGAGAACTCGCGTGCACAAAATCGGTAAGAAAAAAATAATAATAACAAGAAGGTCTTCCGCTAAAGACGGAAGACCTTAATAATAAAAATAGTGGAAAAGAAACCTAAGAATAACAAGAAGGTCTTCCGCTGAAGACGGAAGACCTTAATTCTGTCCCATTCGTGAAATAAATTCTACATCGAACTACAAACATTGAATATCCTTTATTTATCTATAAAATTAAAAGGCCGTTACAAATATAATTTAATTATATATTCATATTCTAAAAAAAAAAAAAAATATTTGTAATTGAAAACAAAGATGTAAAATAGATTTATATCTCATTTTATTACAGAAGAAGAATGAGTCAGCAGCCCGTGGTCAGTAATTCACAGGAAGACTGTGATAAAACTTCAACTGCGGAGAATGTTATGCAGAAAGAGAAGATGTATGACACCCTTGGTAGCGATGACAATCGTACAAATGAGAAAGACGAGGAAATCAACATGTCATTACAGTCAGCCTAGTGCAAATATTAACATTGTGTTAATGAATTTTGATGTTTTTCAAAGCAACATAAGACCTGCTCGTTGCTGGCAAAGAGATTGCATCTTATTATTATTCATAGCATTGACCAGGCAAGTCTTCATGAACACTCATTTTGACCCATAAGTATCTTAACAAGGAAAAACAAAGAGTATTATATTCTATCATGAGGTGCGCTGCTAAAAGGAATACAGTGTTCTGAGATACCTCGATGCATGACCAAGTGTACTACATGTGAAATATGTATATTTTTATTTTTATATTATTCTATTTTATAATTTTGACTTTGAATAACTGGCGGTAGCGCTTTGGATATTGCAGATAAATATGTATCACCTTCAATGATGTGATGATAGTTCTATGTAATTCTTATCCATATATGATTAAAAGAAATGTCATTCAGTGTTTGAACTAAGCAAATGACTATGTTGAATTGATATTTTCTTATATCATAATTAGAGGTCAAGTAGATTTATGAGAAACAGGAGTAAGATGAAAGGACGGAATATATATTTGAAAAAATAAACAAACAGTTTTAGTCTTTGTTTTACAATTGATTTGTATTTTGGGTTTTGAAATTTTAAAAAGGAATCTAGTCTTGGTTCTTCAATTTTTAAAAGAAGTAAAAAATATTCAATGATAAAGAAAATGCAAGAAGGAAAATGACGGAGGATAATATCTATAGCGGTATGATGCAGTAACGTATATGATTTGAGGGAAGACAACAATTAATTTTCAAGTGCATAAATTGATCTTCTATAAATTGAGCAGCTGTTTTAAAGGATGACTGCACTTAAGGACATGCGAAATTTGCTACAAAATAAATTTTCAAAACGAGGATTTTTTTTAATTGCAGGAACGGTCAACTTCCAATCTGCAACTTTACGTACATTTAATGAAAGTATGTATTTACGAAGTACGAATCTGTTTTCACTGACTGGGGTCAACACGATTTCTTGAATCTCTTTAAGATAAATTGGACGTTCACATTTTTACCGATTTTAAACATGTTTGTCTATTGTTCTGCGTTGAACAGTACCTGCATATTTGCATTAATAAAGTTGTGTCAAAAGCAGATTAATAGACAAACTTGCGCTCATGGTTTACAAGGGAAAAAAATCCCAAAACTGCTTCTTCTTACATTCGCGCTCTCTGTTGTAAATAACAGTTTTGACATGTTGAATATTATAATTCACTACGTGGTTTCTTACCTCAAGTAACTTCGTAAATACTAAATCCCGTCAAATGAGGTGAAAGGTAGCCTGTTATTTGCTAACTTGGACGTTGAGTTCGAACACATTAAAAAGTCAGGCGTTGATTTAGAATTTTCTGTATACTTGCATGGACGTGACTATATTGTTAACTTCGTTTTGAAACCCTTGTAAATAATATGTGGCATACGAAATAGAGAGGGAGATGGTTAAAGAGAAATCACGTATTTTCCTTTTATACATGTCACTGTTATTTATGCTAGTCTAATTTAGGCCTATTCTTCCAATGTTAGTTCCACCTATGTTTATCAACCTTATTTTCAATTAAGAGCAGGTAAGTGTAAATTCTCTATATTTGGAAAGGAGTAAGGATGAAAAAGTAGAATTACTTTATTGTATCAAAGTCTGAAATCATTTGAGCATTTAGATTTCGTTTCAAACTGGCAAAATTCTTTAATAAATGAAAAAAAAAATATTAGGTGTAGATGTAAAAGTAAGAGAAGCGACCGAGAAAGGCCAAAACCTGGCGTTAAGTGCAGTAATCTTTTTATTCATTGGACAATTTGATTCAATTAAGGAAGAATGTACTTATAGGGTGCACAAAAACATTTGAGTAGCTCAATAATGTCAAGTGCTTATTTACAATATTATCGTAATTGTATTTTTGATCAAGTTGTATACAAGAGCTACATGTAGATGTTTGTTGGTAAATTTATATGCGTGAAATCTGGAACGGCTCCAGAATTATCTCGATCCCTTCCCAGTATCTTTCTTTCGAGGTCAATTTCTCTTTTTAAATCTTATCTAGTTTTGAAGGCCAACTTTCGCCTTCATTAATGCAGTATGCTTAAAAATTTGTCCCCCACCAACTAATCCTTTCACTCTAAATTAGGAGCTGGGACTTTTTCAAGATACCCATAAATATGAAGGCGAAAGGTTTGCCTTCACAACTTACTGAATACGAACTGCATCATAATTCTGTGGGAATATGGGCACGAGGGAATGGACATAAAGCGAAAAAGAAAGCTCAGATATATAATAATATATATATATATATATATATATATATATATATATATATATATATATATATATATATATATATATATATATATATATATATATATATTTCCAAATGTTACTCCTTAAGATTCTTTGTAAATTAGGAAAAAATTCATGTTCTCATGAACTACCGTGAGATGAGTAAGAATATTTCCAGTGTGATGTGATTGAAGTCAAAAAATTGTGCAAACTTTTTTTTTTCTTAAATCTTTGATGACAAACATGTCATCAGAAAAATATGTATATATTAGATATGAATATGATTTTTGAGAATTCAGGAGGAACATGAATTACAACGTTTCACGCCTGCACATTTATCATGAAGCGCGTTAGCGCTTCATGAAATATGCCGGCTTGAAGCGTCGTAGTTAATGTCCTCATGAATTCTCAAAAATTAAATTCATCTCTTAATTAAATCTAGTTCAAACAAACAAATACCTTATTCGTTAGTAGAAATATTTGATTCGACGAAACACATATTTTTTTTTATCTTATCACATGGTGATACTTTTCTGTGTAGACTTGTCAAATTGTACTTGCAAAACTAAATATGACGTCAAATTTTACACGGACCCCAGGACATTAAAGAGGAGGGATCAAGTGCCTAGGAGGAGTAAGCATTCCTTTTGGACCGGTCACACACCCGCCGTAAAAGCTATGCATTGATCAGGAAGACGGCATTTTAGCATCAAAACAAAGACCAAATAATTGACAGGAAGTTCATGTAAGTCACAATACGACCCAATTACAGGTTTTACTTGCTAACAAGGTCATTATAACAATCAAGGAACAAGTACCAACATCAAACTGGGAATTAACTGGTACTACTTCAATAAATAACAATTTCATTTAACAAAAGGAAATGTGTTACATGTACTTCTGAATGAGATGCATAAATCATTGAATGAATTAGCTTTTTTAAAACACTTCCGTAAACTTCAGATGTTATCTTAGATTATTATGCCGCTTTGAATTTCTTCAATTTCATTATTAAACTTCAGACTATGGTTAAACTCATCGCATTCATTCTGAAAGTTCATGCGTTTGTTTTCCTTTCAAATGCATATGGTTATTTGGAAAATGTAACTCATCTTCACCGCATTTATTTTACTATGTTGCATTCAACAAGATTTGAGTTACATAAACTTTTAAAATTCCGAGAATTAAAAACTTACTACAATAACAATCAGAGTGTTATAAATCAGTTTTAAATTTTCTGAATTCTAAAACAATGTACAGCTGTACTATTTGCCTAACTTATTTATTCTATTATACGCTTGGTTTCAGAAAAAACCGTTGCCTTGCATAAACCGTCATGTGGCAAAGCAATCAATACTTATATCATTCGGGGACAACCGAACCAATACAAGTAATACTGTGGACGGGCTGAAGACTACCCTCACATATAAAGGAGGACAATGCGTCATATCCGGTAACGATCTTCGCACTGCCACCTGGTGGGTTAACCTGACATCTACTCTAAGTATACATCACATTATAATTCACTACAGGACAGAAAATTGAAAGTGGGGTATGTGACAGTAGGCACTGAGTAACGACTGAAGATCTTAATGAGAAGCCCTTCCCCGGTATCTATCAAAGTTGAAGTGAAAATATCATAATTCATTTATTTCTTACAATTAATTATAGTTCTCGTAAAGCCGCAAAGTCACACAGAATAGGATATTTTTCTTTCAGGGATTTTATTTATACGTATCCAACACAACTTATCTAAGTTTCCATGACACAAACTACACTTTTACTATAGTCATCATAAGCTGTCCTGTACATGGACAATATGTCATCTATCACAATGAGAGACTTCAAGAGGTGAAATATCCTGCCGATTTCTCTCAATATGCATTCACTGAGTTGTGTGAGGTGAAGGTTTATGGTATGTTAGAATTAAATTTTTACAGTACTAATATATTCCTTTTTCTCTTTTAAGGACTAATGACCCTCTGCTCCAAATTTCACGAATTTTTTTTAAACTTCCCAATATTGATTTTCATCAAGAGCTATAGCATCAAAATCAAATGAAAATAGTATGAAGTATGAAGCGCTGCTTATTTTTTCGGAAATGATTTTCGATTTTAGTTATGTCAGCTCATAATATGAAGAAATTTTAACACAGAAATTAGGAAGAGTAATAATTTATTATCACAACATAAAAGTAGAAATATGCGGTGTATATGAAAATAATATTTAGTGTCATACCTACTAAATTCATATTAGAAATCATAATAAAGCGCTGCTTCCTAAGTCAGAATATCACAATGTTATATGTGGTTGTAAGAAAACAATACTTCTGTTAGCAAGAGTTATTTTCTTATAGATATTTTTTTCATTGGAAAAAAAAGTAATACTAATAAAAATTCTACATTTGGTGCTTGATACACTAAACCATTTTTAAAATGATAGTTAAAAAGATAGAACTTATTCAATTTCTAAGGGTTTTAAAACTGGATTTAAATGTTTTTTGTCAAACATAATAAAACAATTTGAAAAGTACAGTCAAAGGAAATATATGGTAATGTTTCCATCATATGTTAAGTTTGATCGAATTGACTGCTCAAAGGTTTCGATAATTAAACTCTGATAAAGTAAACAATGAGTAATACTAGGATATTTTACTTGGAAAGTTATCTCTCTTATCAGAGGGTCGGTCCCCCTTAACTGAATTAAGTACCTGATACAGAAAACCTGTATAATCTGACGTGCACTTTGAGAAAAATTCTGTGTAGGAAAAAACAGAATGTCGGATTACACAATGCAAAGAACATGGAAAATAGTAAAATGGGGAATGGAAATAAGGATCAGAATTCACAGTGAAACAGAAATCCTAGTACCTTGGCTTCTTTATAAAACCTTATCTTCGGTCCATACATTTTTAAATACGTGGAATAGATATCAAATCATTTGAACAAAAGCATGAAAAAATATAAAATGATGTTATATCTAAAATCTGAATGAGCAAAAAGAAGTAATATAGATCTAAATGTGTAGAAGGCATATTTGTGCATTTAAGAAAAAAAAAAAATAAAAGGTTTCAAAATGATCAAGAATTGCGTTTGTCCGGAAATGGCTGAACATCTAGAAAATAAAACGAAACGATGGTAACTGACTGAATTTGTTTTGCTACAAATATGATGCTATCTCAAAAAAGTAAATTTCAACATTGGAAGTATTCCTTGATGATAACTTTCTTTGAAGAATTCAGTAGTA